CCTATGAATACTGTACTCTAGAGTACTTCTAGAGTAGGCCAGTTTTCGAAGGAATAGCATTTAGATGGTTGAAGTAGCTGGGATCAGCCACCTGTAATGGCTGTTAGCGTTGGTGAGGCATGTATTTAAGTATCTCGAAGTCCCAAGGCCTTATGCTCCAGTTCAGTAGCTGCGGACGGACCACTGTTAGCATAAGAGTAAGAGCCGGGCAGAACCTTGCACCGCCACATAGTCCCACTAAACAAGCCACGAATTGCCGAAAACGGCTAGGGTTAAAGATTAGTGGACACTAATTCCGGTCTTTACAGTAGCGTGCTCTGCTCAACCAACTGTTCTGGTCAAATAGGGGGTTTCACTATCCCTGCCAGTCAATATTCCTTTCTAGCAACAACCCAAGACCTTCTTGAATAGTTAGCCTTCTTAAACACCAGTCCGGGGCGCTGCGATACGCTTCCACTCATCCCTAGACATATGTCCCACTCAAACACACGTCTAGGCTAAGCATGTGTCTGACCTACACTCTAAAGTTACGACCGATCCATATATGTGCGTGTACTCATACGGTATGTGGTAGAGACGTCCTCCGGACTGGAATCATCAGCATTACCTTGATTCAAAGAATATGCTTTGATGCTAGTAGCGAAATGTATATTTGAGTGGTATAATATATAGTACCACAAACACATTGATTGTAAATTAATTAATATGACCTTATTCTTACACCACACAACAATGCCACTGAGAGGTTGGTTCCCTTGATAATGCGTCTCTTTCGCCAGTGTATCTAATAACTGGTCACACTTATTAAGCCACTACTTTTCCTTAACGTTATTTCTTTAAAGCTCTACATCATGCTGCCTAACAAAACCCTTTATAAATCAAGAAGAGTATGACTTAGGTCTAGATATATACAACACGATATATATATTTCTTCAAATTGGTCTAGAATCTCATTCTGTTTTTTATGGGCGCCCTAGTGTGGTACCTCCGTAATATCCCTAAGTCTTTGGCTCCCTAGCTACCGACTCACCCTGCGGTTCTAAGTCCTCTATCTTGTCTGCCTCATACTCCCTGATGCGTGCCTGGCTTATCGTCGATTCTTTCTCCCAAGAATCCTCGGCGTCGGAGCGTCCTTTCCATCTCACTAAATACTCGACCTTTCCGCGACATTGCCTTTAGGCCGCAGCGCAGACCGAAGAACAGTTTAATCCAATCCGTCTGAGCTTTTGTTTGGTACATACATACTTTAGGCACCTTAGGTGCTGTGAAGGCACTGAGGTACCTCACCTACTTGCCTCATAGATTCTCCAAAGTTTTGCTCAACCCGACTCCCGCTCGCCCTCGTGGCTTAAATACTCTGCGAGTTCTTTTTTGCGGCAAGAAGCTCTGCACCATTTTCTCTCCTCCTGTTTCTCCTCACAATCAGACGCGCCAAGCCAACACATACAGCTTCTTCCTCACCAACACCCAACGGCACCATGGCCGAGCTCCCTAGCCCAAGTATCGGCCAGGGCGGCGGCAGCATCCCTAAACCTAAGTCATCCAGCAACGGAGGCAACGAAAGCAGCTCCAGCGCCTTCAGCAACATCATTGGCGAAATCGGCTCTGGCGGCAGCATAGCACGCGCCCTATGCTCCCTCGAGGGAAAGCCCGACAACGGTCACGGCGGCGAACTGATTATACGCATCCTCATGGGCGATCACCTGGAGCATCTCTTTGCCGCTCCGGGCTCGGGCCAGGTCATCGTCACGAGACCGGATTCCAACGACATCCTCCCGCGTGATTATATCCGCATCCTGATGGACCTGCCTGTTCGGAGCCCCGATAAGCAGGACCTATCCACCCGCCTTCGTACCCTCGCCATCCCTAGCCCCCTTCACTACGCCCTCCCACTATTCGATGACGACGGCGACGACGACGGCGGCCACAGCGAGCCCGCACTCACGTGGGCCGTGCTCACCTCCGCCGCGTACCGCGCCAACGACGACTGGGGCCGCGAGTACCCCAAAGGGTACAAGCGGCCGGCGAAGTGCTCCCGAACGGCAGACTATTGTGATAACACTATCAGTGAGATCCTGTACTCGACGACGGCCGAGGCCGAGCCCGAGATTGAAGGCCTGCCGCGCTTCGTGCTGCCCGTCGGTCGGGTCTGCGCCAAGTACCGGAGTGAGCGTCACACGCTGGGTACGCCGCCTGTACAACGACAACGACAACAACAATAACAACAACAACAGCCGCCGGCCTCGGTCATGACCTACATCGTGGTCATGGACATCACGTCCCCCGACAAGCCCCTCTGGCTCGTCCACGACGCCTACACCTCCTGCGATGACAATGACCACGGCAATCTGCCGGCCGAGCGGCTGGCCCCGAGAGGGCTTGGGTTTGTGGGCGATACCGTCTTTGACGTCGCACCCCTAGCGAAGAGCGTCAAAGAGTGGCACGACTGGGCAATCGCCAGCAGTGGCGATGCAAGAGAGGCCCTGGAGCGGGTGAGGAGGCGGATCGAGGCCGAGGGGAAGGTGGTGAAACCCCTGATTTCCATCACATGGCACAATCGAGTGGTTGAGGCGGTCAAGGAGGGCTACAAGCAGCACGCGGGCAAATAGGTGGCAACAACGACCGACAAGCCTGGTACTTTAGATAGTGTAAATGCACGGCGTCTGCATTCTAGGCGTCCTGCCCGCCTGTCTGTTGATTCATCAAGGGCGTCTCCTTCCTTGAACCCCGGTCGGAAAGCTACGCGAAGAGCGTCTCGGATGCTGTGAGGTCGAGATTGTTAGAGTAATGAACCATCTGATATTACAACCTGTTTCGATTATTTGAGCCCACGAGTTCCGCCACTTCCCCTGAAGGCTGTGCGGCGTTTTGTGAAATGTACCACTTGTGGGTCGCAGCCTGCAGACCATGGTTCGTTCACAAAGGATCCGTTGGGCTTTCGCTGACAGACGGCTCGGTAGAGTTATAGTCGGTGAGGTCGGATAGTACATGTAGGCCGCCACGTGGGTTGTTGTTGTTCGCAAGTTTCCCTCACGTGAGGGTTGGAGGAGCGGACTCAGCGTCCCCTGCTGGTCTCTGGATTGGAGGCTCTTTAATGCGGCTTACCCGGCTTTACCCCGCCATCCTCTAACGTTACCATAACCCCACTTCGTTCCCTTTCATAACTGCAGCACCACCTTCGCCGGCAGCTCAGGTTTGATCATTTCTATCATTCGACGAAGCTTCAATGGCGGTCGAGGCGCGTTGTGCAGCTTGCAGTTGGACCTCTGAGCGACAGGATTCTTGCCGCTAGCAACGGACGCTATTTCAACATCACCAGACGAATTCGAGGCGAACCGTTAAGTATTGCTTGGGGAGCAATGTCAATAGCTGCGAGAGAACGAGTGGCAAGACAAACAGCAGACTTTCTGGGCCAACTTCGGCACCTACATTCGCCTCGGATGCAAAGTCTCAATGGGCAACCAATGTTCTCGGCATTTTCATTCCCAGACGGCTACGGTGTCCCTCATGGGCCCCTTACCTCGGACGATGAGCTTTGGCAAGAAATGACGAGATCTTTGGAGGGAATATCCGAAAAGGCTCGTCAGCGACTGCGAGATCGTATGCCACCTGCGATACCCTACACTTTCACTCATGGCGACCTTACAAATGTGAATATTATGGTCCAAGATGGTAATCTGACAGGCATCATCGACTGGGAGGCAAGTGGGTACTTCCCAGCTTGGTGGGAGTTTACCTACGCAGGAATTGGCTTGGGACAGGACGACCAGGAATGGAAAGCTCTATTGCGTAAGCATATGCCAGAGTACAAAGAGGCGAGGGACTTCTGGCGGGATTACTTCACACTTTCTAAATACCCTAACTTGAATGAAAGGGGTGTAGCATTGCTCAGGGAATTGGAGCTGTAGGGCAAGAGGCAAAGCAAAGAAAGGCGTAGCAATATATATATTCAATGGAAAACTAGACCACTTCAGCTAAATGAAATGTAGTGCCTCGCAACTACCAAGGACCCAGTTCCGAGAAATCCTATTTCATCTAGAGGTACCATAAGCGTATATTCATTCAGCCAGAGACAAGCGGTCTTACCACAAACTCGTCTGGTCGGCTCAGGGTCACTGGCATATCATGTCACTGTTGTACTGGATATAGCCATCACCCGTGCATCTCACTAACCACTCAGACAAACATTGAGTGAGGTCCGGTCCTCTGTCAAGTTATGACAAGTCTGGACTGAATTAGGAAATATGGCTAACCCAAAGGAGCAAGCTGAAACAAAACCCTTTCCTCTCTTCCCTCCATACTTCTAATCATTATGCTCTAGAGCAAAGATTCCAGGTACATGACTGACAGAAGGTCCCGATGGACGCAAGGCCTGTGTAAGTCGCACTAGCCTTGGGACAAGAATCGTGCCAATCAAAAGCAAGTTGATTAGATCTTCGTCTCCTCTCAGATTCAGACATTCACCGTCTTCATATTTTGCTCTTTGGTACCCAAAATGTTCCAATGCACCACTCATCTTGTTCAGTGCAACCATGACTGATGTAGCCGTCTCCATGTTACAATGCGGCTGTAGGAACAGGTCTCTTAGGCATTCGGCATTGTCCATTTTAGGATTGTGGAGGATTTGGTTGACGCAGTTCACCTCCGACTCGTCAAAGAAGGCCCCCATGAAGTTCCGTTATAACCTGCCACCACACACTTCGCGCTTTCTCTCAGCTGCTTCACAATCTCACTATACTGTTCTTCGATCCTTAAATTACCTACGGCGTCAAAGGCGTCCTGGAATGCTTGCTGTGCAACGTTCTCCGCGAGGAGGGGTTCGTGTGCGTCCATAGAAGGCAGGATATGGTTTGATTGTTGGTATTGCTCCTGTAGGAAGCCTCCGAGCTGTGGAAGACTATGTTCCTCTACAGGCACTTGTTGCTGGGGTGAGCTGAGGTGACTCGAAGAGCCTTGGTGGGAGCCATCGAAACCCTGCCGCTGTCAACTAGAGGTCATGTCTGGTTACGGTGATCTGAACTCACGTTGGTAAGAAAATTGCTCATTGGAACGACATCTATTCCGAGTTCGATCGCGTCTAAATAAACTCCTGGTGAACCGACTGGAAATACTTGGTATACGTTGTTGGATAGATCTATATCTCCAGGTATATATCCAGCGTCTAGAGCCTCTATCATACTACATTTCAAATTGTAAGTTGATCCTAGATATATTGGGTTTCTCTTGCTCTTTGTACCTGGTGTAAGGGGCCGCTTTGTTTGTAATCTCATAAGTTCACGGGTTTCACAAAATAGGCGGGTCCGTTACGTGAAGCCGAAACCCAGCCCTACATTCTGACTTGATCGTTACAGTATTCCTATCCCGCAACTGGTCCCAAAAGCCATTAGCCTACTTCTCGATCTTAGCTTTCAGCATCCTACGCTCCGGTTCTGTGCCCGGAACAGGCGCGATGGGGTTCAATAATGATCGAAGCAGTGTTTGAGATCAGCCTTCGGAACCCCGGGGGAACATAGCGAAAAGCATATTTCATTATTCTAACTACTGAGGAAAAAGAGATACTACCCACGCCTCCAGTACTCTTCGTCACTGTCATCAAATCCCTGAACTCCAGAGAGATTACGATTGGTCTGCCCTGGGGACGGTTCATACGTTATCCCTGGTTTACGGTTTACTCGATTAGAAATCGGACTTCCAAGGATTGACCGTGGATCAACAGAAGAGGCATTGTCAAATCCAGCGAACGGCGAGCTTCCCAAGGACCAAGCACCGCTACGCGTTGGCCTAAAGTCTCGACTAGAGCTAGAGAGCAGCCTCCCACTGGAGCTGGGGGTGGGGACACGTACAACCGGGGATGTATACCCTGACCTAACGTGATGTGGAGGTGTCGGCCGCGCTGTGGTCAGAGCAATATCACTCCATTGGGAATGCTCGTCCTGGTCCCGAACTCTCGGCGCCCCCACAGTGTCTCTGCTCTAGCGAAGCCACCACGATACATGAGACTGGACTATATTTGGCATGCGGTATGCAGGTAGATCCCAATACGAGCTTTCATAACGTCTCTTACTAAGATCGTCCACCGATTGCGGCCGAAACACCAAGCTTTCTATATTCTAAGGGCGTTCGACCGTAGATAAGATCTGACTCTACGTTGACATTCGGGTCTTTTGGCTTATTCCATCGTGGTCATGGATACCTAAGGAAGATGAGACGCGTGCCTGGGAATTTATATCATCTCGGTACACCCGGGGTGCAGAGCCTAGAGTCGAACCCAAGAGACGTAGGCCCGGCAGACCTATATCTGACCTCGAGCGAGTCGGATCAATTACGAGTGTGGACGGAGTAGTGATGTCCTTCCACTAGTCAATCGAGTCACGCGCATGGCGTATAGGTGAGTCAAAATAGCTGTCTACATTAGGCAGCAGGATCTCTTGGTCTGTCGCTGAGTATGCCTGGCGTACGTCCGCCGCATCCGCAATTCCCGTCATCGCGACATCTACGGTCGTATTAATATCGTGGACATCTTCCATGTCGACATCAAAACTGGGAGGCTCCGGCACCTCGTCCAAAGCTGTTCCCTCCATATGGACATCTGTGGCGGACAGGTCACCATCTTCCTCGTTGATGGAGATCAAGCGTTGTGTTCGGTCCAGTAGCAATCACCCAAGCCCGCCACAAGGAAACCTCCCCCCAGCCGCCCGTTGTGCTGTGACCCTCGCCCATCTTGCAAAGCCGCCCCGCAACAGTACTACTTCTCTCAGTGCCAAAGACCTCCAGGAATACGGCATTATCCTCCAATTCTTGCCATTGCTGTCGCAGCCAGGGCCAGCGCCAGGTCTAGCTATTGTCCGACATGTCGTCTCTGATCTAATCGATGTCACTATCCGCGAGTCTCCCTACCCGACAACCATCCGACAGTCGCTACAGCCAGCCCAATCTGATCGACCCTATGGCTCAGCTGTACCATACACGTCCCTTGAGTGGGCTGGGATTGTCGGAAATGCAGCCTGGCATATCACACACACTAACACCGGCGCCAGTGCCAGTACCGGTGCAAGTGGATCAAGGCGAAGCCGGCAGCAGCAGCATCACAAGCGGGAGCAGAACGGAGACAACGATAATCACCATATGACAATGACCAGCGAACAGAAGGAGGAAGATGAGGACTACTACAAACAACGACGGAGGCTAGAGACACAGAAGTATGGCTGGCAGGAGTTCGACCCTGCAAGTGTTTGCCATCTCTTCGTCCAGGAAGGCGAGCGGACCAATAAAGCACCTTTCCCTCTCCTGTGGCAAGCCACGGCCCTGCTCCTCGCCGACGACAAGGACCCTCGACGCCGTGGTTGTAGTTCCACATCCTCTCGTCCAGAAAATGCCGTTGTCGTCGTCGCCGACCAGACAATGCCCGGCGGCCTCGTTCCATCCGACCATCTGCTTCGCAGCGAACTGCTCTGCGCACTACCACTCGTCTGTCGCCGGTGCTTCGAGGAGCAGCTGCTCCGCCAGGATGCTGGTGCTGGTGCTGGTGCTACTCCCACTGTCACTGCCCCCGAGAAAGATCGATCATCTTCGTCATCATTTGCTGTATGTGCTTGCTACTTTCCTGCCCTTCTCGTCCCCTCATCACACACTGATCATCATCTTCTGCAGGTCACAATCGTGTCTTGCACCGGCACACGAGTACGTCTTGTCGAGGCCAAATTGGACCACACAGGATCCTACAACGACCCCGCCAGCGAGCATGTACAGGAGGGATGCGGTCGTCTAGCTCCTGCGTTGTCGATCAGCATCGCCCGGGATATACCAGTCGGCAGCATGACCGGCACGAGTGAGGCAGCCCGTGACCAGTGGCTTGAGGTGATTGGGTGGATGTTGTTTGGTGGGGTCGCAGACCCGGCTCTCTTGTTGGAGAGTTATGGCGACGACGACGACGATGACGCCGAAGACGACCGCCTCGGCGTGTACGGCTCGTTGTCTGTGGGCAAGACAAGAGAACTCAAGACAGACAGCGGCAGTAGCAGCAATGCAGGGTTATTGTCCTCCAATGGCCAGAAGAAGCCTGCTGCTCTGGAGAAGAACCCTCGTGATCCTCGGCTTGTGGTTCCGTCCGAGTCATATTCTGAGCGCCTGGTCTCAGGCAGCGGGACGGAATTGCTTGGTGAGAGCGACGGGAGTTATGAATGATCGCATATGTGATAATGTCCAGTGATATGCATTCGATCAGGGATGTATGCTAGATAAAGGAGGATGGAAACAGGTAGTCGGATAGTTGACGAGGAGGCCAGCATCCGTTCTCAAGATCCCCACAGGCTCGATCGACATATAGTATGTGAGGCAAGATGGTACCGTACTCCACAGCTGGTGAAGTGATACGCCACCACGTTAGCCAAACTCATGGATCCGTAGCTGGGCAGGAGGTGGCGCAATATTATGTTCTTCATTACCATCGACAACTGAGAGCGAAATACCTATCTTTGACGTACACTCTTTGATCGCTGCGCACGGACACGGATCCTTCAAGGTACTTCGGTGTACACTTCTTAAATGCTGACAGCCGTGATAGGCCGTAGATCGTGGGTGTTAGGGTGTCTTGAGAGCTGACAGATTACCTTGCGCCAGAAGTACTTCAGTATGCCCAAAGGTAGATACTGTGGGGGCCTCATGCCATTACAGTGTCATTGCGGACAAGGAAACGCCGTCGCTGTTCTAAACCCCAAGCCTAGACCTCGACTGCTGTGCGCTTTTATCTATGAGAACGGTAAAACTGCTTCTCCCAGGCCCTTTCATGGTGCAAAGAGCTGAAGAAAAAAAGTACGGTAATATTCATGATGCTAGACATATCTACTAAGATTTGAATCGAATGATTTTCACCATACCAGAGTGATATCCCATCGCATACGCATTATCCTGATATGCGGTGCACACAGGTCTGAAGTTTGGGGGAAGCCAGAGGACTCTCTCTCCATACTGAATCAACCACTCTCCATCGAATGAATAAGTAGGAGACAGCAGGCTTTCATAAGAGGACGTTTCGGTATTTGCCCCGAGACTGATTAGACCTCGATCTGTTCTGAGCGATCGACCATCACTAGTAAAAGATAACTTAGTAAGATCATGTTCCGTGTCAAGCATCTGCTGCAGCCTGCCTGTCGCTGCGTCCCATAGCCGTACCGTCTGATCAAGCGATGCCGACGCGATTGTCTTGCCATCGGGCGAGAATGCCACAGCCATGATTGCGCCGTCATGGCCCTCGAGTGTCTGTTGTGGTTCGCCTATCGCTATATCCCAGAGCTATATTGTTTCATCATCTGATGCTGATACAACCAGTCTATTATTAGGCGAGAATGCTACAGCCCTGACTGGGCCGTTATGGCCTAGGAGTGTTTGCTGTAGCTCGCCTCTCGTTGCGTCCCAGAGCTTTACTATCTTATCGCCAGATGCCGAAGCGACTACCCTACCGTTAGGCGAGAATGCTATAGCCCAGACCCAGCCACTATAGCCCTCGAGTGTCTATTATAGCTTACCTGTCGCTATATCCCAGAGCTAGACTGTCATGTCGTTTGACGCTGAAGCAATTATCCTACCATTGGGTGAGAATGCTATATCCCTAACAAAGCGACTATGGCCCTCAAGAGTCTGCTGCATCTCGCCTGTCGTGGTGTCCCAGAGCCGGACTATCTTGTCAGCTGATGCTGATACGATCGTTTTACCATCAGGCGAGAATACTATGGCTGAGATCCAGCCACTATGGCCCCTAAGTGTCTGCTGCACCTTGCCTGTCGCTGCGTCCCATAGCCGTACCGTCTTGTCGTGTGAAGCCGAGGCGATCGTGTTGCCATCGGGCGAGAACGCTATATCATTGACAGAGTTGTGGTGGCCCTCGAGCGTCTGTAAGCAAGCATTCTATGTGAAGTCAACCTTTGGTAGTTGTGAGATCTACTCTGGGCCATGGGTTTTGAACAGATCTTGGATTATGCTCTCTTGTGGCGTGAAAATGATCGTAGAAGCATAGAGCTGAAGGGGATATAGGTCGATAATTGAGCGGTAGTTGAGTAAGAATCGGGTCGCATCTTGTAAAAACGCGGCGACACCAGGACTCATACTGGGCTACACGGCCTGTATTAGTGACTTTCGAAGAGGCTGCTTGGTGCGACCTACACTCAGGAGACCCAGGAGGCTGCTGATCATAGCAACACAATCAGATATTTTCCCTAGAAGACTTAACGCCTCTAGCCAGTGAAGGAAGTGGCGTTGGAGAAATTTATAGGCAGTATGATCATCGGTGATGGTTGTTTTGCTCTGTTCGAGATGGTGTACCCAATACAGGCATGCGTATCGAACGTATGCTGGCAGAAATGATTCAATCACTATAGGCTTCACATCTGCGCGAGCTGCGCCGAGCTGCTTTACGTTGCAGATATCCTTCTTCAGGTAGCCACTCGTCGATAAGAGCTGTAGGCATCTAACTGCAATCTGCTCATGTGTTGCCCTCTCGTCTACCCAGAATAGATTATTGTCATGATTTTTTGGGTCAACAAGGAAGTCGCGGAAAGATAAGTGAAAGGGTCGTATTGGTAGAGTAGGATCAGATGGGACACTAAGAACAGAATGGAGAAGATCTAACATATTATCAACCATCGTCTCCGGAACTCCAATGAGCGCGGAAAGAGATGTGATCGATAGCGGTTCGGTTAGGAGCACTATCGAGCCGACAATTCTGCGGAAGTCAGATATCAAATCTTCCTTCTGAGAGTCGGGGAGGTCGATAGTGAGCTGATTCAGGACTGGGAAGTAAGTTGCGTGGAGTTTGGACACCTGGCTTCTTGATCGGTATTTAAGGAGCTTTGCAAGTTGTTGATCAGGTCCGCCAGCCCTCCAGTCCTTGAGAAATCGGACTGTAGTTGCCGCAAAAATAAAAAGCGGTATTGCCATGTCAACCAATATCTGGACAACGCCTCGGCTTGGCCAATCTTGAACAAGTTGCCGTCTGGCTGGAACTGACTTATTGTATTGATCTCTCACTGTGTCAAGCTCGTCCCGTAAGTAGGCAGTGATGTCGTGTTCGATGATGGGTGTCGGAATCTCGTGGAGTAATAGATCCTGGTATTTGCCTCTGATGTCGCTGAAACCAAGCCGGATTGGTAGCTCTGGCCGGCTAGTCACGAAAACCCGAACCCAGACTGATCCCAATGTCTTCACCCGTGACAGTAGATAGATAATAACTTTCACGTCATCCTCACACCCACACTCATCGAGGGCATCAATTACAAGCACGACCCTCTTGACCAAATGTCCTTCCAACTTGCCGAGTGGTTCCAAGATGAGCTTCTCAAACTGCTCTTTTAGAGCTTTGTTTGGAACAGTAGGATCGGCCTCGAGAGCAGCTCTAACATATGGTGCTAGATCAGGTACGAGGTTGACAAGCTGGAAAGAGATTGTCGTGAACAGCAACGCTGCACTGCTCCGGTCACGCTCGCCTCTTTTGAAGAAGAAGCTGCCTCCAAGACACGCTTGGTTGGCGAATGACTCCGCAAGCGTACGTGATATAGTGGATTTCCCCATGCCAGCCACACCATTTAGCCAAAATATGCATTCTCTCTGTGGATCGTCGGCCCATCTTATGATCTCTTCACGGAGCTCGACTCGGGTTTCGGGATGGCATCGCGCATCGTGCTCGTCGGCATAAGAATCGAAGGCTGCGTGTCTCGCGATCGGTAGCTTCGAAAGAACTTGTTCCTGGCTGATCTTAAGGATTTCCGAGCTATATCTCATTAGCCGACGAATTCAAGAAAGAAGTGGCTACAGATGTCTGATCAACAGAAAGTGCTGCATTCAACGTATCTCGATATATTCGAAGGCTTTCGAGGATTTTGTCGACGTCCTTGCTCTCAAATGACCACTTAAGAGCACTTCTGCCAACTCGGCTCATAATCTTCTGTCTTGTTCCTAGTTGCAGTTTCTTCTCGAGCTTTGCTTGTAGCTCAGTGAGTCGGGAAGAACTGCTGCTGACGCCATCGTGTAGTGGCTGCGATGTCTTGAGCCTTGCCGCATGTGGCCCTTCAAGAAGCCGACAGGCACCTTCAAGGGTGGATTTGAGCTGGCCAAGTTCTTCACATAGACGGTCTATATCGTTTTTGGCATTGTTGACAGCAGTATAATATTTGTAGCAGAGTGACGAGACCTTCGCCGAGAGCTCGATAACGGCGATCACACTTGCTGCTGTCCCTAAACATTCCATCGTGCCGCAATAGAAAGAAGTGAGGCCGTGAGACAAGGGTCCTAGAAATTGACGATCTTCGGGGTTGTTGGAAGTATCACATTCTCGAGAGAGTGGCGGACATTGTCGAAGCCAGTTCGAGGCATCTCGCAAGGCTGTGTGCGGGGCAGACACGCGATGCCTCGAAGCACGAATCAACTTCCGAGCTGTTGAGGAGCGTGGGGGGCATACTTCTGTATCGACCTTCTAATTAGAGCATATGGTGGTACATATTTCGGTATAGTGATGTCGTCTCCTTCATTGAAAGCAAGTGCTCACGAACCAAGAGACCGCCTCATCTCGAGATTGTGCTGTAATCTGCAAAGTCGAGCGACAAGCAATAGTTAGGTGCTAGATCATGTGACCTGGGTAATAAATCGCAATCTTTGCCTGAGGTAGCAATTGTTTGTCACATAAGACGATACGTGTTACGGCCAGAATTCAGGCCGCCGTCAGGAGCCCTACGGCAGGCATTTCATAGAAACAAAGTCATATACAGATAAGATAAGATCGACTCACTAGAAGTCGCTTGAGGATTAGTAAGCCGCCGTAAGCAGTAGTGAGCCATAATATGCTATAGTTCTATATAAGATTATGCTTATAACCATAAGCTTAAAGATAAAAAGACTAGCTTTTTAGCTTTTAATACTATAATTTGATTTTATAATCAATTGGACTTAACTAATTATAATCATCTACCTTTGTAAATATTGCTTAAGTATCTTTTGACTTATTTTAGGATATAAACTTAAAGACTCTTAATTATCTATTAATATATTGATAAAAAGGATTATTATATATTGAAAGCTTTTATTTAATAGGTTGATAATATATCTTATAAGTAATAATTAGATAGTTAAGATAGTACTTATTATTATCCTATTAATCTTAAGCTTTTTAAATAATTTATCTTAACTAAGCTTAATAG